GGGAAAACAGGTTGGGAGTTGGCCTATACTATATAAAGATACTCTCATTGCAACAAAAGCTTCAGGACCGGCCCTGCCTATATAAAAAAAATCGGTTCATGTTTCAACTGGTAAATAATTCGGCCTTACCAAATTAACTCTAATATAAAACTAAATATCAATTGGTTTAGGTAGTATTTCAAAATTATAAAATGGTACTAAGTTTTATAAATTTTTAATTTAAAATTAATTAATAATGGATAAATTATTTCATATTTTTGAAATATTATTATATCTCTTCTCAAGTCGAACTCCAGCAATGACTCTCTTTGGAAAATTTGAGTCAACAAACTAAAATCTGATGCCATGTTAAGTTTTGAAAGATTTGAGTCAACAAATTATAACTTTGATTTGGCAAAGATAAACAGACTTTGTGATGAGTTAACATAAGAGAAAAGAATTCGACATATGATGAGTTAAAAATGATTGGGTATTAGAAATTCCTTAGATAAATCTTTGCCGAAATTTAATCGATAACAGCATTATTGGAGCAACGTACTGCCTTTTTTCATTTCTTTCTTCAGATTGTAGATCCAATCTTTTGAGTATTACAAGAACATTCAGGGACGGAGGCACGTTAGTGGGTACTATAAACAGTTCAAATTTTTTTATTTGATTTATATAATGTTATGATTTATGAGTTAGTGAGTATTTTTACTATTGTATTACCTATATTTTAAATATTGTAAGTTAAATTCATCATATATTTTTATCGAAAATTTTCAATAAGATTTATATAAATATCATCATAATTTTTTATCGTAAATTTACAACAGTTTGTTTTAGTAGTTTTAATTTTAATATTTTACTCCCGATGAAAATTATTTCTAGATCCGGGTTACATTAGTGTATATACCAGTTGGTATTATATATGCTTATAATTTTGGACTAAAACAATAAAATAAATATGTACAAACTTTCAAGTGCATGCCATGCATGATTGGGTCGTATACGTAATCTATTCTTTTAAAAAAATTAAAGGTAACAAATCGGATAATATATTTTTTGTAGTCAGTCCCGACTTAATACTCTCTAGAAAGTATACATTCCCTCTAGAACTGATTGGTTAAGTTGTCACCAGTTCTGAGTTTGATTTAGACTTATTTAGACCTATAATATACATTATTTTAAGGTATTTTTATAATTTAATATTTTATTTTAAATCAAATAACTAATATTATAGGAAATACTATATGATTCTAGTTATAAATTTTCTTGTAAATAAGTTTTACAGACAAAATTTTACATAGTTTTTTCTTTTATGAGAAAGTTTCGATTATGGGAGATTTTTACTGTGCTGTAAAAATTCATGATTGATTTGTGTATGTCTTTGATATTTGCTAAAATCTGTTATTTGTTTTATCTGTATTTCTTATAAATTTTACTGTGTTTCACTCTACCTTTTCTATTTTATTAAGACGATAAAATAAAAAAAATAACCATTATAGAAAACATTTGACAAAGAGGTGACAAAGAAGGAACCAAAGACGAAAGACTACATACGTAGATAATACATATTCATTTTTCTTAAGCAAACATGAATTTATTTTTATTTTTTTGGTAAGGTTTCGAAGATAGCACCTTTCTTTTATTATTGAAGAACCGACTAACCAATAAATTTAGAGGACGTTTACTTAGATTTCGCACTTCCAAATTTGGTCTTGAAAAGGGCCACTAGCTTCTGCTTAGGCGGTAAGGCTTCCTTAATAAAACTATTCGCAACGAAATCTTCCGACCAACGTTGAAGTTTAGGAAACTTCTCTGCGGTCATGATGGTCACACCTGAAGCTTCTTGGACGAGCCCTAGCCAATATCCTATGAAATCAGCCGCTATATCGACAAATCCAATTGTCTCTCCTCCGAAAAATTGTTTATCTCCAAGCTCTTTTTCAAGGCATTGCAAATCCTCTGAAGCTTCGTCCACCATCTTTTCTCTTTCGGTTTCCGGTCCCCAACAAGCCTTCCACAATGCTAGTATTACCTAAAACCCGAAGAAACAAACAAGTTATATGATCCAATACTGTATACAATGCCTTCTAAACATGCATCTTGATATCATGTGAATGTTTTCACTATCTAATTAGTTTGTAGTATAAATATCAACATTATATGTACCTTATCATCCACATACTTAGCCCAAAAACGGGCCATGGCACGTTCATAAGGATCTTGAGGCAAGATCGGCTCACTTGTCTTCCATGTATCTTCGATGTATTCGACAATCACCAGAGACTCGGCTATGGATCGGTCACCGTGGATTAGGACAGGGACTTTCTTGTGGATAGGGTTGTATTTGAGAAGCATTGGGCTCTTGTTACCGTAAACATCTTCTTCAATATATTCATATGGGATGCCTTTAAGTTTAAGGACCATCTCTACTCTTTTGCTAAAAGGACTTCCCCATAACCCCAAAAGCTTCACTTGCTCTTCTTGGTTCATCTCTCCGGTTCAGAATAAACTATCCGGCTCGGTT